ATTTATAAACACACATTGAAGCGGTCTAAAGCGACAATTTGACCATTCACCGATTGTAGAAATTGATCCGTAGCTTAGTCGAAAAGAATGCTTTTCTCAGTGGTCTGAAAAGGCGGTTCTTCAGAGTCTCGGTTGCGGTATCACCATTAAATGTTACATTCACAAACGGCGATTTCTTTCTCGAAGGGACCCAACTACGAAAATGCATCCATTGTTGGTTCCACGTTAGCCGCTTGTAGATCAACCCGACGAAGAGAACCATCATTTCCATATCAGCATAAATGATGAAGGTATTATCTCAGCATCTTTGGTATCTATGAAAACTTTCAATAACGTGTTGTAACACAATATTTCCTATGCTTGTTATGAAGCAATCTTCAAGCAGAGGAACCAACGGCGACCCCATTGTCACTCCATGTTTTTGTCTGTATAGTACACCATTGAACTTGAAATGGACATTAAGACTGCACCTCATCAGTAGTTCTTTTAAGTAGTGGATTGGAACACCTACATTTAAATTATTATCATACATGAATTTGCATAGAGAGCAAGTAGTTTAAGTAAGAAGGACATAAGTGAAGAAACACATAACATCCAGAGATATCATTCCCTTTCCGGATGAGACGATGTCATATATCTAATAAACGAGCTCAGATGAATCTGACACACTATGATGACTGAAATTATTTCTGACGAGTAGAAGAACGTCTGCGAGGCATTTAGCAATAGCATAATATGGCGAATTGTTCATGTCCAAGATTAGGCACATTTTCTTTGAGTACATTCGGAAGAGCAGATAAATGGGGAATTACAGAATTCAAGGGTCATAGTTGCTCAAATAATTCTTAGGTAGCAATTGAATGATTCTCCACCTTTTTCAGGATTCGTGTTAGCTTCTCTTTTATTTGTTCAGTTTGATCTTTCAAAAAGGTTTCTTTTCAAAATTTACATTCATCTGGTATGCTGGATACCACTTTATCGATGTAATCTTAACGAATATTAAGGACAATGCTAGCACATATATCTGGATGGATCAGCACTAAGTCTTCAGTTCTTAAGAACTCATGTAACTGACTTTTGTGCTCAAGTAAAATTAATCGTTTGTGCGTCAGTGGCATAGCGTTTAGGACCCTCGCCGACCATGCACATGGTCCGAGGTTCGATCCCCGGCCGACGCACTCCTTTACCTCGCTGAGCCAGAAATAATTCTGGTAAAGAGGAAAGGTTGGGCATGAGGCTAGCAACCCCATCCTGTAAAATAAACACTGCTACAGAAACTTCAAGCCAACTAGCTTGAAGCCCTGTGTTCCACTGGGGAACGTGAAGGATGGCATTTGGCTCTGTACTGATATACTCATTACAGCTGTTAAACACTGTTGATTTGAACTGTTTAAATATTTAGTTCGAAACTGGAAGATCACACTCATTTAACAGATTAATCCTCTAGATTTATCAAGATACAAAAGGATTTCAAACCTAAGGACAAAGCATACAATTCATCGCCACTGGATACGTGTCACTGATTCATATGATCTACTCTATTTTGTTATTTTTTGTCACGCTTACCGCCATCTTAATCGTAATTTGCCGTTCATCACTGCTAGTGTTAGGTAAGGAGGGGAAACTAATCAATGAAGTTGTGGAACTGAATCGATTCAAATGGATATGAACCGTGTTATGTATGACAAGTCGTTGCCTTCCTCACAAAGTAATGTGGAATGACACAAGACTTCGTTGGTAAAAATGGACATTCCAAACAAAATATGTCATCAATCAATGAGGTCTTTGATAGTTGATTTGAACTACATGGGGAGGTGTAGAGTGCCAAGCTGGGGTTCTCGGGACGCTAAGAATCAACGCCTGCAGTCTGTTGGTGACAGGTCAAAATCATTCTCAAAAATGCTAAGACGTGCACTCTTCGTGATCTCCCTGATTTCTTAGGTTCTTAATATCCTCCATGTAGCTATTCCTTCTCCAGTACGCAAGTTGTGGCAACTTGAATTACTGCACCTTAGTGCAAAGTTCAGTGTTGAAAACTCAAGCATTCACTGCTTGCAACTCTAGATTTTATGCGACATATGAAGCCATAAAGTTAACAGACGCCAGATATACCCAGTCCAACTATCAACTAGTTGTATTACGGGCTCCGACCTCTGAAAAATCGGCTTGATACACAAAAGGTGAGGTTGCGAATGCAAAGTGCTCAGATACCAAAGGTATGCTACGTGGAAGCGATTAACATATGAACATCGTTTCGAAATGACCTAACTGAAATGTGTGTTCGAGGTGAGGTTTGTATTTCGCCAGACTAGCTAGTGCCAATATCTTAATTGGTTGAAGGAAATGTCTTGCTGAGGCAGGTTACTTATCTGAACAGTCAAATTAGCTCCGATAGAAGGGTAACCAACTGAATCTTGAGACAAATACAAAAGACTCATTCAGATTTTCTGCATGTTTTGCCACATAGAGTAAGAGAAATTTTTGACTATAAATTTAGGGCTGGATGAAATAGCAAGCAGTGTCATCTATTCTATCTATCCCACTATACGTGAACAACGTAAGAGTTTGCTGTAAATATGTCTGTCTGTCTGTATTCGACATAGAACTTTGCACCGATGTGCGGCAGTTCGAGTCACCACACTCCATGTAGTACACAAAGCAAGAGAAGAAATGCATAATATAGACAGTAAACAGAGGTGTGAGACAAAGGAATAGTAATAACAAAGAACAAAACAGTTTCATTGGAAATCATGAGTCACAAGGAGTGGATGCATCTGAGCCATTGAGAACGACTTTGAGCCATGTCACCAATTGTTTCCAACCATTGGTTTTTACCGTCCCGAGGACTCGAACCAGGAAGTCAACACCTTCCTACGTGGCTTAGACTAACTGTTGTGGATTTCATTGACTGGTGCCGTGTTTTGGTTTGACCGCCGCTGGCTCTTTTCCAGCCTTACTCTATGTCAGCTAACATCACCCGTCGAGGAAGGAGATGACTAGGCTAGGTATGCATAACACATGTCCTAACCATCTCAGTCGATGTAGCTTCACAACCATTTCGATTGATTTCCCCTTCTTACCTAGCACTCGACACCTAACCTCATTATTGCTCACCTTATTATACCACCTAACACGGGAGATAGAAAGTAGGCACCTATGATCAAAGACAGCTAATCTTTTCATGTCCCCCACTCTTAATGGCCAGGTCTTGCTCACAGCCATAAAGGAGGACGGAGTGGACTGCTGAGGAGTACACCCGCGATCTGGTCGACACTTAGCCGGATGTCACGTCTACGCCAGAGACGGCGTAAACTGGCATACGCGAAACTAGCCCTCTGTATCCGTGTTGAGATTTTGTCAGAGATCAACCCGTTGGGGCTGATGGTACTTCCCAAGTAAGTGAAGCGGTCAACGTGCTCTACCACTTCACTTCCTATTTGTAATCTAGGAGTCAGTGTAGTCCAATCCTGTAACATCATCTTACATTTGGCGGGAGCGAATCGCTTGCCAAATATTCGTAGATTGCGGCTGAAGGTGTTCAGAAGACTCTGCTCTATTTTGTCAGCGTCCTCGCCTAGAAGGACTATATCATCTGCATATTCTAAGTCAACGATATTCTTCCCTGGTAGCAAGTCAATCCCTGAGTCTCTGAAGTGAGTTAAGGTTAAGCCCATTAGTACATCTACGATGAAATTGAATAGGAATGGGGATAATGGGCATCCCTGTAATCATAGACAAGACAAGTAAATCATTTAGGGGAGGGAATAAATCTTCAACGTTTAAAGTTGTCAGATCTATATAGATTGTTAACTACAGCGTGTTATGCTATCAGAAATATGAATGGGTTGGGAGGAAACAAAAAGTGATCAGAATAGATCATATCAACAATCCATGAGGTCGTTGACTGTTGATTTGGATTGTGTATTGGAAAAGCAAATGGTGCGTAAGATCTACGTGATCAACGGTGTTGACAAATTTATATCGTATACGTATCCTAACCACACGTCACAATTTCGCAATCTACATTTTGTAACTTAGCACTGAACCATCCTACTACTTAATTTATGCCATTTCCATTTCTTTACCTTTCACTACCTTTCAGTTGGTGCGAAGATATGAAGTACAGCACCTTAGAACACTATACGATAATGTTAGGTCCCTTGTTAATTATGAGCCTGACGTACTGAGGAAACTCAGAGGAACCAGTACTTTCGATGTAGATCGCCATCATGTGTCGTCAAGAAGGACTACTGGTCAGTATACATGTCTTTTAATGGCGAACAGGATACCACGACTGCACTACAGATGATGCAATTTGGCAATTGCCAAACGAGCTTTTTGCACTCTGTAGACAGTTCGTCAGCAATCGCCCCATGGAGTTCGGTTCAGCTTCCCAAATGTGTGAAGAAGTCAACACATTCAAATAATTCACTTCAAATTACTGCAACAGGAGTCAGCAAAGATCAGTCCTTTACAAATGTTTTACATTTTACAAGGGTGGCACGCATAGAAAATCTCGTATTTTCGCTATTAGTGTTAAAAAGTGTTTGCATTTGTCGGCATCCTCACTCAAAATAAAAAGGACCCTCTGTATCAACCAAATAACCTTTGTACTTTTGATCAAACCAAAAAAACTATGCAATAGCTGGAAATGTATTTAATTGACTTAAGCACCCGATATTCCGCCAATAGACCCCAGTTTTCAACCCCGCTCCGCCTACATCAGCTTCAGCAGCTGAGTATTACCACCGACCCCCACACACAACACGTGCGACTCCTATCCTAGTAAACTGAAGTGACGTTCTAACCAGGGAATATCACATTTAAGCCTATGGTTACGTAGCTAACCGAAACAACATAAATCAACAGAGTAATGAGATCGAATGAATATTAATCGTGAAATGATGAAGAAATCATTATCCCATTGCACATAGGAAAGTGGGAAGTATTAGTCATTTGCCATTTTGATATTATTTAATTCATATGAAAATTAAACTCACCTTAACATTTCTAATCCAGTATCATCAATGCGAGAGCAACTTTCCAGAGACAGTGTGGTCAGAAGAGAACAATTTTTCCCCAGATAATCACAAGTCCCATTTGTTAAATTCTGACATCCTGATAAATCCAAACTTTCAATCATATGACAAAGTTGTGTAAAGCATCTGTGACGAGATGAAAAACCAAAAGATTTGTAATTCTTACACAAAACATTCTATGTATTAGTTATGACCCGCCATCACCACTGATGTAATCAAATGGAGAGACAAGTGTCTAACAATAACCGACAAAGTAAAAACATTTAGAATGATGGCATAAGAACTACCAGCCTATTTGAATGCATGCAGACTTTAAATCCAGGATACAAAAGTCAGTGTGCTAAATAAACGTGGAAATGTTATTTTAAAAAAACCCCAGGTATTGCAACCATTCCTTAAACTTAGTGTTCAAGCCTTTCTATGTAGAAAATTTGCACTATTTTCACACTGAAGTTAGCGCTGGAGACACTTAAAGCTCCACAACTGCACCATCTAGTTTAGTGAGCACAATGACAAGTATTTTATGTGTTGAACGCATAATTCTCACCAGATTAACTGTTGTAATGGGTTTCCGTTCCACAAAACATAGAAATCAAAAGTGAAAACAAATTTGAGAGAAACACAACTGAAAAAAGATTGATGAATGATTTAGGTGGCAAACTTTAGCGGAAGATTAATGAATACATGAAAGTAATTGGACTTACTGTAAGGCTTCATCAGTCACATTTCTACAACCCTTTAGCCTTAAATCACGCAGAAAACCACGACTTCTTTGAGCGATCTTTTCAACTACTTTTGGCTAGTTTTTTTTTATTGCGTTAGGTGAGTATTAAACCTTACCTGTACATACCGCTGGAAGTCGAACAAGTTGATGCTTTTCCAGTTACTTCCATCGAAAGCACATTCATACCAAAACTATCAGGTATACGATACAGGAAAATCTACTTACTTTACAGACTTGCGAGCATTTGCATAAAGTAGTGATATCTAGGTAGGAAAACACCCTAGATTTCATTTAGATTGTTGCTAAACTGTTTACCTGATAATTAATTCCTTGGGTAATCTGTCATTAATACAGACATCGCTTTTATGATGTGAGTTAGTCTGAAAGAATGGTAATTTAACTCATTAAATTTACCTTTCCATTAGCTAAAACTGAACCATTTGCATTGAAGTAGTTTGGAAAGTTTTCCATTTTGGAGCATTCAAATAACTACCAAACCATATAAAATGGATTCCCCATTATTAAGATTTATTAGAAAATGCTTTAAAAAGTAGGCATTTGTACGCTCATCAAATAATAATTAGTCCAAAGAGTAAGCGAGACAACATCCTCTAACAAATCCAATCAGCTGACTAGCTACTTTGAAAGCCAAACAAAGAATTCGATAAAACAGATGACGTTCAATATCAAACTATCCAGTAATAATGTTAGGAAACGGTTTGTGGATGATCGTAATGACGTTTTATTTTATAATAAGTGATAGCATTCTATTTCTAGAAGTTCTATCGACACTTCGTAAGCACTCAGCAAACTGGCGACCTTCATTTCCATGTACTGTAAATTTTGCCATAACCTGGTATCATTTAGTTCATTTTCACTGAATTACTGCAGTTTAAGAAGGCTTTTAGTTAGTTTATTTCGTTTCGCAAGAAAACTGCGAAGTCACCGATGCCTCCCTCCCTCATAAAATGTTGGATAACATACCAAATACATATATGTACCTTTGTCTAGAGAACCACTTGTTCTTATGAAGAATATATAGGATAGTAAAATCACATAATCTGACAGTAATGTTCACAGTTTTATGGTTTGGTGTGAGAGATTAAGGTTGGAAACCGCTAAGCCGAAGCGACTGAGAATTAATGTATTATAGGCACCTCGATTCTTAATGAAAGAATTAACGCTCCCACATGCTAAACATTGGATAGTTAAAAGCACCTATGCATTTACGTGAGCAAAAGTTTAGCATATTAAGCATACGAGTTTTGAAGCAAATTAGCATTGTCATTTGGTGACACTCCTATTAGTAAGTCGAGAGCGAAATAATCGTTTCTGCTTTTCCTTTGTAGGAATCGACTGCTTCGGACCATCATCTTTTCACCGTGGTATAAGAGTACTATGCATTTGGCAGCACCTTTCGATAATAATATTAATACCTTAATAGTTCGACTGATATTACTAACTGCAAGGAGAACTACTATAAGGTGACAACTACTCATATTTTGTAAAGACAACTCTAGATGTTATACAAACGTGTGGAATGACTATAAAATGAAAGATATGGTAGCACTGGAGGGCATAAAATGATAATAAGATGCTCTGTTAGCTATCTCTCAGAGTGAAACTGGAGGAAGCTTGGTACAATATTAACGCTGAATGCTCTTAGTCGATAAACTGTCGTCACTCCCATTATTCCTTGGAGCGAAATGGACTTTCGGAAGCACATCGAGGTTCCACTCTGTTCTTGGCAGTCCTATCCAACTGTCTTCACAGTTGCTTGTGGACTTCCATTTCTTCCTCACATGGTTTGCTGCATTCACCATCGGATCAACACCCAACTACTCACTCACCTCTCTCCTTCCATTCGACAGCCTGCCTGAGATGTGATAACACCTAACAGTTTCCTCAGTACATGTCCTGTCCATTTCCCTTTCCTTCTGCATATTTGTTGGGCGTCAGGTTCTTGGAATATCTACTGCTAGAGCTCCCTATTGCTACCTCATCTTTCTTGTATGGACATCTAGTCTTCGGTACTACACGAAAGCAGATGTTCATGGCAGTCGGCAGTAACCTGCTAAAATTGCTCTCGACGACGAGCGCTCCATATCTCTGGACCACAAAGATGCACTAGATATTGCTATTAAAAATTTGAACTCCTTTCCCTGCGCTGAGTCCGGTGAATCTCTTCATAATCTTCAGGGTTATGAACGTCTGTCTAGCCTTTGCAGTCTGATCCTGGATAGCTTTCATATTCCTATATGTTCCTCCTTTAATTGAGATGCCACTGTCCTGGTTAGCGAGAGGGTTGTCTTAAACTAGATCCCTTCGTTTGTGGTCACTAATGCTCGAGGCTATTATTTGGGTTTCTCCACAACCTTTGCCTCCTCTGGGCGCACCTGAAGTCCTATCTTCGCTTCCATCTCTGTGGACTTGTGGTTTCCATCTTTATATACCCAAGTTTTTGGAACTTGAGAAATACGCCATCTGAAAAACTCACATCTTCTACGGTCTCTTCGTTGACGCGACAAATATCCGTCCTCTCTTTCCCCCTTATCTGCCCCATGATAGAGTACATCACAACCGTAAATATCATGGGTGATAGCATACACCTTTTCCTACTTCTGTCTTCACTCTTAGGACTTTCTTCAATTTCTTGGCATGGAGTGTCGCCACATGGTTGTTGATTGAGGTACATGTATTTATGGCTGCCTCTAATGATCAGACCTTGCGTGAAACTATCAGTGATCTAATTCCTTTATGGACAAAACTTATTTTCATAAAGTCATACAGTGTTATATAGGTATATTTACTGATGGCATTTCAAGCACAATTTATTTCTCATGTGATGATGGGAATTAAAAGTAAGGCAGTATTTATCTACCCTGAGTACTCTGCCTGGGCTCATTGTTAAGCAGTAAAGATGACTTGGGGACGTTAGATGAGAAAAAGTGTGACGCTATATTCAATAATAGTTCCGGGGGTATTTCCCACCATTCTTATACCATGTTTGCATCGTTGAGCGTTTCAAAGGGAGCAAAGCAGTGCAGTGCTCCTTCTGAATGTAATGATAATGCCTCAACTTAATTGTCAGGGTACAAATGTAGATGTCATAAGTCCAGGAGAAACAGGGGAGCATAACGCCATCAAGGGAGAATCACGGCATCTGTGAGAGTATGGTCTCCAAAAACAGAACAGCCTTCTGTGGAAATTGGATGCCTTGAAGTCGTGGTAAAATCAGACTATCCAACTGTTACACATTTATGTAGTAGAATGCCAGGTCTCAGTTTTGGTGACTCCTTCCTACACACCATTTGTCTGTCACTAAATGGAAGACCACTAGCAGACATGCTGGAGGTAGCAAACTTTTTTGGTGGAAGATGGAGATCAGTGAAATGTTGGCGAAAACGGTTCAGTCGGTGACCCGACGAAAAGCTTCAGGTAAAATCGACATAAAAATATCATACTATTATTATTATCATTATCCCATGATCAGCGCATATACTTCCTTGAAGAAACCTATCCCTCTCACAACGTATCAGTCCCTCATGTGTTTTTCACAGCCTACAAAACAAAAGAGGGGCAGACACTCTAGACGCAGCTACTGCTTCCGCGACTTTCACAGGCATCACAAACGACATTTTGCAGATGAGCGCGATGGTGGTCTCGTTTCGAATTCAGAGGACACTCAAGCCCTTATAAGAGTAATGATACTATCTTTAAAAAGAGCTGTAGGTAGATCAAATGGGATGGACGCATTAAAGCTTTTCAGCACCTGGAGTTCGTTGCGAACCTTCGCATTTTCCGTAGTTCGTTATTAACCGACCAAGAAATACTGGAGTCGGTGACGTTGGATATGTGCGCTGCGGCCAGCTAGAGTGCCTCTCATAGCGCTCTTTCACAGTTCCAGAAGCCCCAACAGGTTGGTAACCCACGTGCGACCTGCCTCATACAACGTCTTGCTGACATCACGCTCCTTGTTGCCACTGGCTTGGATGAGCTGGAACAGCTTCCCACAGTTATCAGATGCAGCTACTAATTCCATCCAGTGCGCACTCTCAGGCCATCAAGATTCAAGGTCCTTACGCAAATAGCGTTTGATCTTGAGCGTGAACGCCGTAAGCATGATGTATTACTCTCTGTCTGACAAGATGAATTGCGCTCGTCCAGAAGTTGCCAGAAACTTGTGGAAACCCAGTGGTTTTTAGCGAAGAGCGTTTTTGACCCGCATGAAGCTTAAATCACTTCTGCGTCTAATATTGTACTGTGTACAGTATCAAATCTTATTCTTGATTTACAATCAGGTGTTTCTAAATATGAAGTGAATAGTATATTTGTGCTGTTTTCTCAACAGCGTCATCGTGAAGTACCACCAGAAGTGGATTGTAATTCATGTAGATGAATATCGAGCATAGTCATACAAAATTGTTTTACCGCATTAAACAGGTGGTTGTAGTCCATAGTCGGCCGCTACCGCCATTTTTATCCACATTGTAGTCTGTACGCGGGTTGAGTATAAAGGCACAAATCAGCTGATTGCTGTAGTTTTAAGGTGTTATCGTGGTGTTGTGTTTGGGCTATTCTACGTTGTTTTTAGTGGTTTTTTCGAAAGAAATGCACTTTAAAAACCTTATTTTAACGAAAAAACGTGTAAAAAGTGTGAAAAATAGTCGTTTTTAGTGTGTTGACAAAATGGTGTCTTTTCATCGACTTGACATGCCGAGGTGCATTCGACATGTCAGAATTCGTTGCAAACTGTCATTTATGAAAATAAATAATGCATAATTTTCGTAAATGGGGTATATTTCATTTAATGATGAGTGAATGGGTTGAACATCGGGGTAATTAGGATTTTATGATACTTTTTAGATTTCATAGCTAGAAAGCAAATTCATTTATTAACTGGTGATATTGCACTGCAAAAATAATTTGTTTTTTATACAGTGTTTTAAAATTCTTAGCTAAGTAATCATTTAATAACTGAAGTTTTGTCATTTTTGTTTTCTGAATTCGCTTAATATATTTAGTCGTTCCAATGAATGATAAACGGGAAATGTATGGGTGGGGGTGATAAAATATTTGTGATATGATGAATGTATTCACTTAAATAAATATTTCTAAAATGTTTATGAGCCATTAATAATTATACTTATTGTTTGTCACGGTGATAAGTTATGTTAAACTGAACACGTACTATGCATAAAATTTTCTATTCAGTCTTTCACTTTTCACAGTGACAGGCCACGTTATAAGTTGCATTTTCTAGGAACAACGAAGTAGTCAATGAATTTGATTGATGCCGCCAAGTGTGGGGTAAGCAGAAGTGCTTATATGATTGTGTAAGGGCAAAGTTACCATTTTATCGTATGATGATTTCCCTTGAGACAGTATTTTAATGAACAGCATAATAATAATAGAGTACTTGTGATAGAGAGGGTATACTTTGCATACTTTACTTGGACTAACTAGTATAACGATAGGAATCGTGTACATACACGACCTACTTTATATCAGTTATACTTCGTTACTGCATTACAAAAGCGTTTCTAACGACTAATTTCTTCTTAAAAGCAGTAAATAATTGTATTATACACAACTCGATTATGCCTAGCTGAGTGAGTTGACATACGGCT